ACACTTCACAGAGATGAAGGGGACAGTTTCCCTGTCTCCGCTGTTGTTCCAGGTTCCCTACCAGCTTATCTTTGTGTTTGTAACTGTACCTTTACCTTGACTTCATTGAAGATGCCTTGCAATAGCCTGGTTTCAGAGAACTACTTGGGTGATGTATAGTAATGTTTCTGAGCCTTGAAGGCATTATATAAATAATTGCCTGGAAAAAATAGTTCTTTTCATGCAGGAGAACATTTCCCTTATGTCTGTGATGCACAGGTTATCAGTCTGTGCAAGACTAGGCTTTCATTAAAAACGGAGTTTGTATTCCACACGGTTGCAGAGGTGAACTTCCAAAATTGAAAACCGAGTATAACAATGTAGACTGCAGTCTTGACTCTGTGGCTACTCGAGCGCAGTACCCAGCAGTGGGCACCTGCAAGGGGCATGGTTTTGAGAACTAACTAAGCACCCACCCCCCTAAAACCCAATCAGAAATCCTTAATTAATCACTTCCATTTTTGTGCATTTCTGATTTTTTTTTTTCCAGCTGAAAGTTATTGCTGTCGATGATCAGCTTAGAGTCACGTATGAGGAAAATGTTCATTTTGATACGGACCTTCCAGAATTCAGGTATGTTTTTTAATATGGTTCAGCTAAGCTAGCATGATTGTTGATAGGGTGCATTTGGGAAGGGCTGTCCCATGAACCTGCTGCATGTGGGGACCTGGGGACTGAACAAAACATGTCCCTGCTGTATCTGTGTGTTTGGTCCGTGGTGCCATGGCAAAGATGACATCAACTCTTGCAGTATTTGGTGTTTTGTGCTTCTGGAAACCTCTGATTGTGTGGGAGCCTAGCTTCCCTGTGAAAAATAGAGGGGGTTTAAAGCCCTCCTGATTGTGGCAAAGGCTTTCATATTTCAAAATGTGAAGCAAATGCATGCTCCAGGGGCAGAAACCAAAAAGCAATTTGAAGGAACTCTCAAAATTATTATTTGTTTATTTTAAATCATGATTTTTAAGTCAGTTTTTTGTGTCCTGACTTGTTTTTTTAAATTTGGGGCTGATGATTGCTTCCGTGTCAGGAGTGGATTGCTACATCAACTCTAAATAAGTTCAGTGGAAGAAACTGGGATATGCTCTAGCAGGTCAGTTAGCCAAAAATCTTTATGCTGGTGTGTGGTTGCATAAAGGCAGGGCCATGTTCCTTCTCCCAATATCTCACAGGTTCCCTGCTTCAAACCTATTTACTAGATATTGGCAGTAAGCTGAGACAATTAGGCATGATTTCAGGAGGGTTATGATTAACCATGGAAGCTTACATGTTGTATCCAGAATTCAGTAGTGTTCCCTGTCCTTTATTAAAAGCTGGATTTAGATGTCTTGCTTGTACACGCTCTAGTCGTATTATATTTGAGTAAAATTGATTTGATAACCACAAACATAGCTGCAGGCATGCATGCATTATTATGTAGGTACACAGCTTTTCACATTCAGGTTGGATATTTGGCTTCAAGGATTTAACTCCTAGCAGGTCTACCATCATGAACATAAAAGGTGGAGACTTTCCTGTGGTAGAGGTTCTATGCAAGAGGACCCTTCTGGGTGCATAAAATCTCATTGACTTTGAAGAGCTCTTTGCTAACGTGGGAATCTTCCCATTGTAGAATCAGACAAGGTTCTTTGGGTAAATCCAATATTTTTTTATTAGACCAACTCAAATAGTTGGAAAAATTCCTCTTAGCAAGCTTTCAGGCACCAACACCCTTTGTTAAGCTGGAAGCATCTGCAGATTGTCTGTGCCCTTCCTGGATGGAGTAGTGAAGCAGCCAGAGGCCAGTACCTATGTAAGAAAGCTGGTCAGTTAAAATGGAAATTGAGGTAGTCAGAAAGAGGTGGTGGGGGAATGAAAGTGGCTGTAGTCAAAGGATGAGAGACCGGAGGGTGGGGCAGAACTGAATGGGAATAGCTGGTAAAAAGTGGAGGGTTTACCTGGAGAGTCAGATGTTAGGCAGGTTATAATGGGTCATAAATTCAATGTCTATATTTAGTTCAGTAGACTGATGAAGGGAAGCTCATAGGCTCATCTGTGGAGGGTATTTTGTAAATTCCCTTTGAGGATCAGAACTGAGAGGTTGGGGAGAGAGTGGTTTTCTTGTGAGGTGCCTGGAGACTGGGGGATTTACCTTGTTAATTGCTTTTCCTGCAACTTTGTAGTTTGATTGCCCCCCTGTTGCTCTTGTTCTTGCTCTCTATACATGTAAGTACTGTGTGTTCTCTTGGGTCATCGCTGTTGATGTAAAAGAGCTCTTTGGCAGAAAAAATGAACCAAATGTGAGGGAGTTTCTTTTTTCCTTTCCACCAAGAAAAGATACCACTTTTTTTTACAGGACTCAAGGTGGAGTCTATGTTCACAGTGACAGACTGACAGTGACTTCTCCAGTGTTAATGTGGGTCGAGGTATGAGCGTGTTAAGATTGGTGGCATGAATATGTTTGTCGTGTATGATTTAACTTGTCAATTCAGTATTGTTAAAATGAGTTTATAATTACAAGCAAAAATTCAGCTTGCCATTCAAATCAGCATGTTTTGCTTGTTTGTTTTCTCTTTCTTCTGAGTGCAGTTCTGCCTTTTTGAAATTCAGATTTTCATGTCATGAACAAGCACAGCTGGAGTTCTGAAGGCTTTGCATTTTGATGTCTTCCTTCTCCATTGCTCATGCTAATGGATGAATGAAACTAAAAGTTTTTTTTTCAGAAATGCTTTTGCACCCACTTCAGCCCAGCCATACACGAGCAGTTTATGGGTAGGCTGATTTTTGGCCCCCCTCTCTTCTCCTCTTGTATTAGAAATACATTCCTTGTTTTCCCTCTTTCTATTTCATATAGATGAGCCAGTTTGGCTTTGCTTTGTTTTTACATGAGACCTTCTCGAACTCATTAACCGGTTGGTGTTTTCTCCCTGTTGGCTCTGCTGCAATTGAGCATGGAATGTGATATTACGGCTGCTTGCAGACATGGGGAAAAAGATAAATGATGCTTCACTTTAAACTTGGCATACTCCCATGCCGAGCCCAGTGCATGCCCAGAAGAGGCATTGCATTAGTTGAACCCAGGTTTCCCAATGTCTGTATAGATCAGGCACTTTAGTGGGGCTTTTTTGGCATTTTTATCTAATAGCTGATTGAATCAGCTATTAGATAAAAGCGCCAACAAGCTCTGCTGAAGCGCCCGATCTATACACACACTGTGGAACTGGGCTGAAGTACTGAGCTTCCAGTAAAGCATTGTTTTTTGTTTTTTTTATCTGTGTCCATCAATGCCATACAGGTCCTTCATTATCACTTTGTCCAATATTCAGTTTAAAATGCAGTTACCTGGTTTTGTAGTCGAAACGTAGGCATTCACATCCCAGGGAGTGTTCCTTATGTGGGACAGATTCTGCAACCGTAGTTTATAATGAATGTTGAAGATGCCCTACTGAGTTGACTTGTGTAGTGCATTTGTTTTAAGGGTGGTAAGACCTAGGCCACAGAGTCATTATTATGTAAAGTTAGGTTAATTTTTGCTTCTAAACTCTTTGAATGTTCTTTGTAAATCTTGTGGCAAGGGCAGAACTTACAAATTTGGGTGCTATAAGTTGAAGCACTACAGTCTGAGTCAATTGCCTGAATTTCAGAGGTGTTGAGTACCAAGGTTCCCAGTAATGTTAACGGAAGTTGAGGCTGCCTAGCATCTTGTGGGACTGGGTCCATAACTTGGAAGGAATTGCATACTTTCTCAAATAAATATAAGAACCAAAAAAATTTGTCGTGTCTTGTCTCCATCAGCTTCAACTATGTCCCTTTTTTGATACTGGTGAAATCTGATGACCAAGCAAGAGACAAGATTTAACATGCCTTAACATGTCTGAGTTTTTTTTCTGCCTTCAACTCTTTTTAATGGGCAACTACTTAATAAATTAATTTATTCAACTGCTCAAGAAATCCCCAGTCATTAACTAATTCTTCATCATCTGCTACTGATCCCTTATTAGTAATGACAGACACTTATATTTAATTCTGAGGACTGTGTGTGTGCATAATTTGGTAGCTCATTACAGTCGCTCTTGATTCTTGTTTATTCTTTTAGGCTCTGGATGTGATCTTGGAAAAGATGAAGTCTTCTGGCTTTAACTTCTCTCAGGTGAAAGCTTTGTCTGGGGCTGGACAGGTGAGTTTTTAAAGAGAAAAATTGGTTGTATTGTTTATTTTCAACACAGTATTAAGGAATATTGGTAGAAAGAAATTAATATTTAATATAAGAGGTAACAGATAGGAATAACGATACAAGAGACTGAGGATAGAAGACAAGGTTAGTAGTATAGTTATAGACTAGCTGAGTGCATAAATAGCTGGTTTCAAGTGATGGGAATGCTTCATTTATAGAATTCTCCTATGATTTTGCAAATTTGACTTACGTTTGGACCTGGAGGAGGGGTTTTGAGTGGTCATGCCATTAGGAAGATCGGATGATGGAATACAGTGAATAGTGGAACAAGCTCAATCTGTTAAAGATATAGCAATTATTCCATCTATCATAGCTCTTAATGTGTTGGGTGGTGTACAGGACAGGGGAAATGGAAACAAAATTGTGGCTGCTTTGTGTGAGAACATAGGATCATAGGAAAGGAGGCTGGAAGAAAACTTCATAAGGTCATCTAGTCCAGACCCCTCTACTCAAGGCAGGATCTGCCCTGACTAAACCATCCCAGCTAAGTGTTTGTCTAGCCTGCTCTTGAAAATTTTCAGAGATGGAGATTGCACAAGATCTTTAGGTAGCCTCTTCCAACGCTTGGTCACCCTTATGGGCAGAAAGGTGTTGCTGATCTCCAACCTAAATTTGCTCTACTGCATTTTGAGGCCATTGCTGCTACAGCCACAGAGAAAAGTCCACATCCATCCTCTCTATAATAGCTCTTCAGGTATTTGGAGTCTCCCATCAGTCTTCTCTTCTCCAGATTAAATAACCCTAATTCTTTGAGCCTATCCTCATAAGTCTTGTTCCCTAGGCCCCTACACTTTTTTTTTGCTCTGCACTGGACTCTCCAATCTGCCCTCATTCTTCTTGGGGTCTCAAAGCTGGATGTACTCCACGTAAGGTCTCACAGTGCTGAATAGAACAGAAGAATCACTTCCCTTCATTTGCGAGGGAAGTGGCACTACTCTTGATACAGCCCAGTATGCTACTGTTTTTTTTGCAACAGGAGCATGCTCTTGGTTCATATTCAGTTTGTGGGCTACTCTGTTCTGCAGTACTTCTGCCTAACCAGTCATGCCCTTGTGTGTATTTGTGCATGCAATTATTTTGTCCCAAGTATAGTATTTTGCCCTTGTTGAATCTCATTTGATTCACTGTGGACCATTTTTGCTGATCTGTCCAGGTCATTCTGGACCCTTGCCCTACCTTCCAGAGTGTCTGCAGCTTCACCCAACTTGGTGTCATCTGCAAATTTGCTAAGCATGCACTCAGTTCTGCCATCCAAATCATTAATGTTTTGGATGAAGCTATAGGCACGAGTTCTAACATATGAGGGCATGTCTCCCTGTGCCTTCTAATACATCTCCCGTAATTTAACCTGTTGCATAGTGTTTGCCTTTTGAGGATGTCAAGCACTTACAGGGTGAGTGTATGCCAGCTGCTTCTGGGTGTGCTGATGTTTGGTACACCCCACCTACCTGTAGCCACTACATATGTGCCAAACCCAGAGCTGCTACTGTTCTTGGTACTGTTCTCAAGCACATTGACTAGGTCTCAGGACAGGTTGTGGGTGGATGCCCTCAGTGCAGCTTTCCAGCTTCATTTCTGGGTTTGGGGAGTGGGAGCAGATGAGCTGGGTGTGCAGCACTGAGTGAGAGCAGAGCACCCGGAAGCACTACAGAGCCAGCATACACATATCTATAGACATATATTTGTCCATTAGTTAAACCTCTGGTACCATGTGCTTGCAGTCTGAGCTCTGCCTTACAGCTGGTCAGTGATGTCCAAGAACTGGTAGTGGTTCCTGAGGAAAAATTAGGGAAGGAGTGTGTCTAGATTTCCTGGAGGGATGCTTTGAAGTACCACATCCTAGACAACTTTATCTAATGATGCTAATATTATGTCAATGATAAGATATTATCATATTGATATCATATGCCTAGCTACAACTGAAAGTTGCTATTCTGTAGCAGAGTTCTTGGAAAGGCACTAACTGTAGACCTAGCAATATTATAGTAATGTCCACTAGATGCTGCTATAGTTGATGGTCAGCATTTTTGCTAGACTCTTGTATTTGATTTAGAATATATATTGCTTATTTTTTAAATGTATGTAAAGGAGTCAGTTAGCTTGCATGTCTCCAAAAGGTGAACTGTTTCAACATAATTAAAAAAAAATTCAGATGATATTCTAATCCTTCTAGTGTCTGAAGCCAGATTTGAATCTGAATTTGGAAAATTGATGACTATATCTCTAATTCATGTATCTGTATTCTGTATAGCAACATGGGAGTGTTTATTGGAAAGAAGGAGCCCATCATATTTTAAAGAATTTATCACCTGATCTTCCTTTACATCAGTCATTGAAGGTAATGTGGAGCTTTTGGGGGACAGTGAATGATCACACACAGTCCTTTTTCTGACACTTAACAGTCACCGTCTCTTTTGCTTGTTGCATTAGAAGTTGCTGTAACATACACTATACAGTATGCTCCTTTAGCCCCAAGGGTTTTCATGTTTCCCTTTTTTCTCCCGAATGACTGCGCAGGCTTCTTTTAAAACATACAGAGAATATTGTTGAAGTAGAGTTTGACACCAGCCTTGCCTGTTGTGAGACCAGAAAGAGTTTATAAACAGTGGAAGGAGACATGTGATCTATTAAAGACTTACATCTATGTATATAGATTCCCAGATGAAGTGTCTTATCTGTGAAGAACTCCTGGGGACTGGATCAAAACAGTGTTTGCGATGCCCTGAGTCTGAATTGAAGTGCTTCCAGAACACTTTGACTATTCATTGGAGACTGCATTATTGGTAGAACTGTAGGAAGAAATAAAAGTCCAGTAACCTAGATTCTGAAATATGAACAAAAGGGCCATATGCTGGGAAAGATGTGTGCTACAGTAAAGCGGAGCTAAGGGAAGGAATCCTCAGATTATTTGCGTTGTGGCCTCGTAACATGCATAGCTGGTCAGCTACTATAAGGTGTGTAGGTAGGCAACCGTTTATCCTCTGGATCATGGTGTATGCATAAGACAGTGGTTCTCAAACTTTTTCTGCAGACCACTTGAAAATTGTTGAGGGTCTTGGCGGCCCACTTAAACTTTCTTTTGTTCTACAAAACAGAGCACACGACTCATATTTTAATATCACTAGTCTTACCTTACAAGTACAGATATTCTCGATTGTTCCGCAACCTTTCTGTGAACCACCTGAATGGAGCTCGTGGACCAGTGGTGGTCTGCGGACCAGTTTGAGAACCTGTGGCATAAGAGGTCCCATAAGAGTCAAGTGCCTGATGAATCTGCTTGTGATAGAATTAGGGCGTGATTTATGCCCCTTACAGAGTCCTGCAGCCATCACACCAAAATCTTCAATGTGTACACCTAAGCAAGAGTATGGAGGAGTAGAGGTTGCTCAGGACATCCCATCCCCTCTGTAGACCATTGAGACAGAATGCAAAGGCCAGACCGAGTCCAAACGTTCAGTGCCTTGATAGTTGTAGCACCTGCCAGAGAGCAACAGATAAGAATTGCTGCTGACTGCCTAACGCCTCAGTGAGGACACATTTTTTGTCAGGGTAATGTCTCTGCCTTTCTCCAACTGAGGAGTACCCATAAGGCTGTGGGAGCTGGGGTTTTAAAGTGCCCTATACTTGCCTTACTCTGGAAGTTGTAACACTGGAATGTTTTATAGGAGGAATATTGGGGTATTTTATAGGAGCTACCCCAATATAGGTACCCCTACTATGTTGCCACCAGGTTCTCCAGTTGGATACAGTTTTCAGTCATACCCTACCGTATGTGTGCAGGGGTAGCAAACACAGCCTACTGATCCACCCAGTATGAGGTTTGGTTTGGGGATTTTATACTACTTACGGTGAAGTTGCCATTACACTGAGATCATACTAAGCGCACTTAAAAACACAAGCAACAGCATGTTAAAACTTGTTAACTCATGCTAAGTGCCTCCTGAGCATCTCAGAATTATACTACTTAAGGTGAGGGTTAACTCTGGGCCATGCTATCTAGCTTGTGTTAGGGTAACTTTAGTCTCAGTAATTTGCAGTCCTCTGGCATCCCAGGATTAACTGCTCTGAGCTTTCTCCTTCCCCTGTCTCCCACACCAGGAGAAGGGATAGAGCCTAGGTGTCTTGGCTTCTAGTCATACCCTTCCTTGCCATTTCTCTAGTGGCAAAACAGAACTATACAAGCAAGAAACTATTAGCCATGCTTACACCATGGTCCAACTTTAACAACGCTTCACATTCCACCGATTTAGTATGGTCTAAGTGTAATACATAACTTCATCCCTAGAGACCCATTAGCTGTGGGTCCATTTCCCTGCCACTGTGATATAATGCACAAGGCCACTGCCTAGGCCTCATCTCCAGTACAACAGCCAGGATCTCCAGTACAACAGCATGGCATACCTATTGTATTTGGGCCTAATGAGGAAGTCTTAAGAATTTGACACTTAATGTAAAAGTCTGCTGGGAAATGATAATCTTACTGATGATGTGTATTTCTCCCCTCCCAGGCTTGTTTCTCTGTCAGTGACAGTCCAATCTGGATGGATTCCAGTACAGCTTCCCAGTGCTTCTCGCTGGAGAAAGCTGTTGGAGGAGCACAGCAACTAGCTAACATCACTGGCTCACGAGCTTATGAGGTAAGAGCGGAAGTTCTTGTAGAGCTGCTGATGCTGCACGGCACATTTTGGAAATAATTCTATCCACAGTCACTAACTAAGATATCCCAAAGGGTGCTGGGCTGCAAGCGTGAAAGAGGAAGTTTAGTCAGAATACTGAGAGAAACAGCCTGAAATAAGCAGCTTTGGAAACAATGGGTGTCCTGTTGCTTGGGGGTTTTAAAATTAGATTAGGCAAAGCAGTAGAAATTTGGAAGCACTTCTGTATTGGGAGAGAATGAATGGGTGAACTAATATTGTAGGCTACTTCTGCAGTTCTCTGGGCCTGCTCATCAGCTGGTGGAGTTCTGCTGATTTAGGCTACAGAAGCTGCTGCTGGCAAAACTACATCCGGCAAGGTGTAACAGAGCTTGTAATTTAGGAACAGCAATACCAGCAAAAGTGTGCTGTTATAGCTTGTTTTCCTTGTGGGGGTTGTTTTTTTTTATTGTACAGTACTGGAACAAAGTGCAACTTGGCTTTTATAGCTGCGTTCACATTAAGAAAGCTTTGTTGGCATAGCCTACTGGCATTTTTTTACTATAAGAACCCCTGCTATAACTTTTCCCTCTTAGACTTCAAATGAGAAAAAAGATGGGTTTCAAACTTAGTTATGCAGATACCTTAAATAAAATCTCTGCTGTAACATAGCTGTTTCTGAATACAGTTCCCTTGACTCCTTTGCATCCACAATGATTCTAGAGTCCTGCAGCATCAACATCCAGCCCTATCTAACACCCATCTCTTCATGCTCAAGGGAAAAGTGATTGGATGAGCATTGTGCCCTGA